TATGTATGCGGCAGACACCAGGATGTACTACGCCGTTCCACTGGATATGAATGTGGTGTCGAACGAGAGAAGTGTGGAGAGGGGGGCTGGCTCAACAGCGGAGTTGAGGTGTATATTTATTAGCAGGCTGTGGCATCAGAGGCATCAGCACGACGAAGCGAAGCTGCTAATGTTCATGTGATGCCCGCAATAACTGCCTAACGGTATGTCATTTGTCTGCCACCAAAAGAGAGAGTGAGTGGAGCAAGGGGGGGACGTTGCCTCTGTCACAGCAAAGTTTAACTAGGCCTCATTATGCAGCAGCAGCAGGAGCAACAGCAGGAGCATCCTGGATGAGAGCTTTATGTAAAACACCAGAGGACTAGCAGAATCAGGGTAAGTGGCATCAAATTTGCATGTATGTATATCAATCCCGAAGTATCTGACTACTATTCTATTATATATTTAGATTTATTATCATTATTTTTATTACCATCCGAATTCAAATGTATCAAATCTAAAGGCTACCTACCTAATATTTGTATACCATGCGAAACAGCGCCATCTAGTGTATAGAGACGACAACAATACTTATGTCACTCTGACAAAAGCTCACCTCCATGTAACTATGTAGCGTTATCGGTTTGTCACTCGACATAACCTGAAGTGTATGAAACTGCTTTATCGTGGTTTATTTGAAATTTCAGTCTAACGGGCTTCTAAGTGGCTGGGAAATTTCTCTGTTTGAGGAAATTCCCTCAAATATTCCCCCAAAACTTGAATATAACGCATTTTACAGCTTCTTCTTCTTTGACTTCCTCTTCCGCTGAAGAGAGAGAGAAGGGGAGATTGAGGGCCTCTGGTTTTGGCATCTTTTTGGGGGGTTTGGTGGGGGGAAATACATATTTAATAATTCAAAGTTGAATGCTATAAAATCTCAGCGGGGGTCCGTATTTCAGGGCGGTAATTCCACATTGTTCGGTTCTTCCAAAGAAGGAGTCCTGCCGGAGTCCTGCCAAGCAGGTGGGCTTCCCCTCTATACGGCGGGGGGCAGGCCTCTGGGTCTGGCTTTGTGTTAATGTGAGAGTTTACTTAGGCCAGTGGTGCTGGCAGGCTGCTATTTTGTGCTGCTGCCGCTTTAAGGTCGCTTCCTGGGGGAAATTAACCTCCTTGGCACGCCGGGGGGCAGCAAGTAGCGTGCAGCCGTCTCCGCTTTTGATGATATGGATCAAACGATTTTGCTTGCAGATTAACCTACACGACGGTGTCCGTCCAAACACCAGCGAATGCCGACTACCGACTCCCGACTCCATCTGCAACTGCAACTCGCGGCAAATGCCAATTGCAACAATGGCCTCGAAAGGCAATGGCACATCGCGTGTGGCATGCAAGACAGAGGCAGAGAGAGGGCCACCCCAGGGCGCCCCCCCCACCAGTGGGGACTGCAATTGCTGCAAAATGCCTGCCACTTTGCACAGTTTTGCACTGCCACAAAACGCCACAAAACTTAAATTGAGCCGCCGCCCAAAACAAACAGTTTGGCGAGCAATCCAAATAGAGGGATGCCCGGAGTCCATAGAGCCATAGAGCCATACAGAATGGAGAGAGAGAAAGAGAGAGAGTGCCGGAGAAGCCATTCATTATCCGCACTTTGATTTTAAAGCCAGTCGGCAAATCACTTAAATCTCTCTTGTGTGCAAAGCAAAAGTCGTGTGGCCTGAACTTAGCCGTAAATCGCATGATAAATGTTTTCCTAGGCCGAACCCATCCCATCCCCCCCAGAAATACCCTTTCCTAGTGTTCGGGGAAGCGGGTAGCATACGTGGAGGCTAGCGTTTGTGCCCCAGAGGATACTCTGCCACCCGCTCCTCTCCCAAGGAAGAGCATTTGACAATTCAATTACTTCCTTGAGTTTTCCCTGAGTTTTGCTTGGTTTTTCCTCCTTTGTTTGTATATTTAATAGAATCTTTTGCATTTCTTATGTGTTTCCAAGTGTCAGGCGGACGACTAATTTGATTTATGGCCGAAAGACAGAGCAGAACAGGACAGAACGGAACGGAACGGATCGGAGTTATGCCCCAAAAAATAATAATATTCGCAAATATCGAAGATAAACTTTTTCCTGGAGTCCTGGAGACGCAGGACAAGGCTAACGATGACTAAGGCATTTTAAATGCCTGTCGAAAGATGTCATTGTTTTTGTGGATGCCAGAAAACTTATTTCTCTCTGTTTTCTTATAACTTATGCATACGAGCAGGACACTCTGGCAGGACACTCCCCGACTGCGGCTCCTTCTGCCTCTGGAGTACTCGCAATACCTGAGATAAACAATTGCTAAATGGCTGCCCGAATAATTGATGGTTCCACTTACACTTCTATCCATCCATCGGCTGTCCCATCGATGGACTTGTCTCTTTTTGTGGCACTCTTGCCGTGGCATGTGGCATGCTACGCACACCCAATCAATCAACATTTTCGGCTGGCCCTGGTGCTGCTGTTTTCCTAATTAGCAAATTAAAAATCCTTAGTATTTAAAGCGTCCTTTCTCTCCCCCTTTCCCTCTCCCTCCCCCTCTCTCTGGTGCAGCACGAAAAACTCATTAGTAATTAAATGTTTTCCGACGCGACTACGCCTGGCCCCTGCTTACCCCTTGCGCCTCAGCTGCCCCATGCCTCATGTCTGTTGTCCCTGTCGTCGTCGTCGTCGTCGTCGCTGCGTCGTGTTCGCACAGCCAGCACTTCCGCACTTCCGCCTGCTGCTGATGCTGAATCCGAATCTGCTGTTGATGCTCCTTCCCCGCCCTTGCCCCATGCCCCTGGATGACGCACAAGACTCCTCGGGCCACATATACGCACTTTTTATACCTATTTATAGCCTGCTTCTGCCATTTCCAGGGTATCATTCGCTGATCTTTTCCTCTAGAATCTGGAGAGATGTCAAACTGCAGTCTCATTAGCCGCTGCATGCCCCCATGCCCCACAACTGGGGGTAATGGAATGTTGTTTTCCAATTACATCATTCTCTACTCTCGCGTTGCATGAACAAGTGGCAGAGACAGGGACAGAGATAGCCGGCAAATGTGTGTTGCAGGGGTATCATTTAGTCGGAAGTTGTTGCTGCCTGCTGCCTGATGCCTGATTCGGAGGCCGTATTAAGCCCGTAAACAAGTCCACAAGCAATGGCTCCTCGCCTGCTTGGGTTATGGCCACGGCTATATGGCTATGGCTATGGCTCTGATTCTGCGGCTCCTACTGGGCGGGCGGCCTGGCCGTAGCCCTGAGCATGATTTGTTACTGACAGCGTCTCAGGCAGCAACAGAGGAGGCAGAGGCAGAGCCCAAGCCCAAGCCCAAGCCATAGCCAGAGGCAAGCATCAGCGGCAGGAGCCACGCACAGAGTCTCGACTCTGAGGCTGAGTTTGATTTATTTCTCGTTGTACAATTTATGAGTGAAGGTGAAGCAACAACAGTGGAGACAGCAGCAGCAGCAGCGGCAGCAGCCGCTGTGGCATCAACACCACACGCCACGCAGCCCGGCAAAAGGATACGCAACCGAAGGAGGCACAACTGCTGAACCGGACCCTGGGATCCACTTGCAATTCATTGAGTGAGGCTAAGAGCGGAAGCAGGGCTGCCAGGGGTGGCAGGAGGCACGATGCTGTCCTTCCAAGGGTTATGTTCCGAAGAGTGGAATGTGGAAAGTGGAGAGTGGGTTATAGGGGCATGGGCCAGGGACCAGGGACTGTCAGGCACTGTAGCGCGTGTTTCAGATGCGTAAGATTCCTCTAAAGATTTGCCCCAATGCCACAAGGGAATACAGAGTGTGGGGCATAAAAACAAAAGGGAAGATAGAGCGAGGATATGAGGGGGGAGAGCCAGAGATATGCTAACTTGGGCGGTGGCACCCCGCCTCCTGCCGCACAGCACTCGTAGATTGTGATGGATGCCTCTCCTCTACTTGGGTGCCGCAAGTCTCCTCCATCCTGGAATCTGAATCTGCCGAGTCCTTGCGTGCGTGCGTAGCCATTAGCGCGTCGGCTGCCGCGTCTTTTATTTCAATTACCACAGCAGCTAATGCAAAATTCACGCGCAGGCACTGCGATAAGGATACAGGGATATGGATAGCCGGAGAGGATGCGTTATGAGGCGTGCTACTGTGCGCATCCTTTCCACAGGATGTGCCATTACTCATTGTGTGGCGCTACTTTGAAGTCCCTCCCGAAAGGAGCGACGCAGAGCCGACAGAGTTAGAGCTTAAACGCCGCCACAAACTGTCATCAGCTGTCTTTATCCTTGTTATCCTCGCTTGGAAGGAGCTCCGCTCCAGTTCCTGCTTTCCAGAGAGGAGAAACAGTTTCGGCCATTCCCTGGAGTCCCATTCCCTGGTCTTTGTTGGGTGCCACAGGACTCGTTTCGCTCTGCTCTTGGATGCCACAAGACTACTTTCCATGCCTGCCAGGATGATGCCACAAAAGTCCTGTTAACTGCCACAAAAACTGTAAATTATGCACGCATCAAATATTTCAATTACCCCTGCCACAGGCACCTGACCACCCCCACCCCCACAGCCACAGCCACCCCCTCTCGTAGCACCCACACCCTTTGACCCTCGAAGTGAAAAGTATTTTTGTCGACGCCTTTGATGTTGGGTGTCGAAGAGCCCTTGGGCCATGGGAATCTAGGCACAGAATCTGCCATATCGGTTTTCAATTACCGCCTGCTCTCCCATTCACCGTTACCCCCCCCCTGCCTGCTTTTCCCAATTAAGCGTTATAATCCTGGGGTCCTGGGGATGTCAAAGGACTCTCGCTATCCCGCTCTCTACCAGCAATATCGGATGGACACTCGGACTGGCTACAATCATATTCATTTTGCCATCAATCATGGGGCTTTTCAAATTAAATTTCCACGAATTTATCATAATTAAACGATGCCACCACATGTGGCAAGCACAGAGAGGGGGAGTGTAAAGATAATTTCTTTAAAGATTATTTAAGATTAAACATTTATTTACAAGTTCGTTATTCGTTTTTGCGTATCTCTAGTTTATGGATGCGATCCGTGCGATTCATCGGATCGTGTGTATTATCTTTTGTATCTTTTCGTGTGTATATATATCTTCTATATGTATATCCGTGTATCTGCATCTGCGGAATGCAGGGCGACTTAATTACGTATAAAAATACTTAAAGCAGAGAAACACAAAAAAAAAAAACCACATAACCGAAAAACTCAATTTACATATTTACAAAAGAGATTCTCGAAAGATTTTGCAACGCGAGAGACGTCGTTAGCCAGCCTCCTCTGTGGGGCATGGGGCGGCTGATGGGCTCCTGATGGCAGTAACATCCTCCAGGCTCCAGGCACCAGACATTGAACATACGCTGCTGCTCGACTTAGCGCCTCCTTATAGAGGTCGCAGCGCTGCCACCAGCAAAAGGAGCAGCAGACAGAGGTGTGGCAGCTCCAGACGTGCCCCCACCTCGTGCTGCATGGCCGCGTGCTGTTCGCTCTTAATGATATGCACAAAGACGCTGTCGGAATCTGTCGAGAAATAAGAAAACAGAGAGAGAGAGAGAAAGTTGAAGAGGAGCACGATAGAAGGACGACAGGAGTCCGTGGCTCACTTGAATTATCCGCAGAGCACGTGTAATTGCCAGAGTCCGTGTGTTGCACGCGGGATATCACCAGGTTGCTGGTCTTCATCTGCTGCTCGGACACCACGCGGATGCCGCCGCGCGTCGAGTCGCTCACCAGCTCCGTGTCCTTGTGCCACAGCATGTGCGTGTAGGGCCCCGGTGCCTGTGGGGCGATGCACGTGAGATTGATGTCGCTGCCGCTCTGGATGTAGAGCTCGCGATTCGCCAGGATTTGCGCCTTGGAAGCTGCGAGAGGGGAGAGTGTCAACAAGTGGAAGCAAGCAAGGAGCAAAGCAATGATGGGTGTTTCTCCTTCGCTCTGCGCCGTGGCTGCTGCTGTTTGATGAACTAATTCGAAGGAGAAACAGCAGCAGCCCCCCCACCCCGCCGCCTTCTGGGTCCATTGTAATGGAGATGTAATCAAGGCGCCCACAATGGGGATTCAATCGACTCAATCGATTGCCTGGGGCGTTGCACGGAAGGAGGCAACAAGGCAGTTCCCCATCTCATCAAGTATTTATCGCCCTTGGTAATTGAGTGTCCGTTTGTGTGTCCTTCTAATCTTAATGCTTAGAGCGGAGCTCGGAGGGAAACCCCATCTTCAAGGATACTCACTCACGACCATCAGTTTGTAGGCCAAACTGATTTTGGGCTCCGTGGACACCTGGCACTCGTAGACGCCGGCATCGCGCGGCTGCACGGACACCACCTTGAGCACCCACTCGTCGGAGTTGTCGATGTGGCGCGCCAGAAAGCGCTGGTCATTCGTGTAGGTCATGATGCCGATGGTGAGGATGTGGAGGTCCCGCTGCCGGATCCAGGACACCGCCCGGTCGCCCAGATGCCGCACACGGCAATGGAGGCGGGCGGTTGTGCCCAAGGCGGCGATGATCTCACGATTTGTCGAGTTGTCAAAGAGCGGATCCAGGCCGCCATCGTACGAGTCGGGAATGAGATTCGAGAGTTCGGTGGCAGAGGCAAGGAAACCTGAAGAAGAGAGAGAGAGGGAGGCATGAATGGATGTATCTAAATGTCAATCTAAATGTAATTCAAGTGCATTCAATGGTAGATTCTAATGGAGAGAAAAGCAACAGCCAGACAGACAGACAGACAGGCAGATGGATAAATAGATAGATAGATGTATCTATAGATGGACAAACAGCTGGCTGGACAGATGGATGGATGGTTGAATGAATGAATGAATGTGTAGTGTGTGTGGTTCGATGAAGTTCGAATCAAGGCATTCATTTGATTAACGAGTATTTGTGCCTCGAGTTTAAGCATCGCCCATTCCCCCGCACATTATGATCCATCACTCGAGGAGGAGGCAGAGGCGGCGGAGGAGGCGGAGGCACGGCACAAGTGATTTATGTGGGTGACTGTGGCGCACTGTGCCACATGTATTAGCCAACTAATGCGCTAATAATCCATGAGTGGCCTAAACAAATACAAATACAGCTGCTGGATGCGAGTGTAGGATATAGGACGTAGAAGTGGATAAACACATATTGATTTATAGGCAGAGGGAGAGCCCGAGCCAGAGCCAGAGCCAGGATCCCTGCATCTGTGTGTGGGTTTGTGGCTTGGGCTTGTATTTAGATATCAAATATCAAGGCAATAAAATGCTGTTAAACACTTAATTGAAACACTGTTGCGCCACCGCCATCCGATGCCACCACTCCATGCGATCCGTGAGCCACCGGCGATATTCGGCGATGCGATGCGATGCGGCAAACACTTCACTGGAAATTGCTTTTTATGCTGGCCACAAAATAAAAAACCTCCACCCCATACACAGACACGCGGTGTGGCATGCCACACACACCCACACCCACACACACACGCATGCAGAACATAAAAATTTTTAATAAAAGTTGTGTTATTTACATACAAAGTGCAGTGGGGCAAAAGTGGGACCGCAACCGCAGCGCGACCACGCCCCTCCCCGCCCCCACTGACTCCCGCCCTCCACCTACGTCTCTGCCCGCCACCCATGAGGGCACTAAACAGACCTCAGGTGGCGATAAATTATAAATGAGCAGCAATTGCAGGTGCTTCTCGTACTAGAGTCCTGTTCCTCCTGCAAGTCCTGCTGCTGCTGCTCTTTCGTCTTCCAATTCCCGACAGATGAGTGGGAGCCCCACCCCTCTGCTCCCATAGGCTCCCTCCAAAAGAAGCCCCTAAGTGTAATTGTAATGGCAATTGCCGGTCTATGCCCCATACTCAAGGCATTCACATTCATCCTGTGAGTGTTGTGAGTGAATTTATGAATGAGTGGGGTTCATATTTCCCAGATATTGCTTAACACTGATCCCTCGGATACTCATAATTAATTTCACTTTAAAGAACTCTTAAATCAAGGTTATAGTGTTCAATCTATTGTGGTAGGATAACCCCTATCACTCAGTACTCAACCTATATCAGCCAAAACGGCATCCCTAGCTTAGTTTAAGAATCCATAAATGTACGGCCAGCCCAGAAAAATACCGAAAATACGGGCACATTAAAAGTATGTAGATCGACGCTCATTCATTACAAAATGGCGGTTGAGTGGAACAAAGACGTGTTCGGAAAAGTACTAAATCGCCCATCCTATTTCACTCTCACACTATCAGATAATTAATTGGAATTTTACCCCCCCCCCCCCCCCCCCGAATAGGAGTTCCTCTAATTCCATATTAAAAGGGAATTACCTGCGACTTTCTGTGTATTCCTAAAGTCAATTAGTGTCCTTTCGCTTAGGGGACTTTCAATTTCAATGTGTTGGCAGTGGAAGCCTCTAGATCAGTGTCTTGTCTTTAATCTAGATCTAATTACAGACAACAACTGAACCCCAATCTAATGGAATTTGAACCCGTTCTCTATTTTGAATAAATTCCGTATTTCCAATTCATTTCCGTTTAAACCTATTAATCCTTTCCCTTAACCTTCTCGAGTGTCCCGTCCTTCTTTCATCCTTCAATCAATGAATGACTGATTTCGTAATCCCAGAGATAGCCTCCAATCTAATTGAAATATTCCCCGCATTTCGAATCTTGTCGTTGCGAGTACCCCTTTGCCTGATGCCTGATTAGATTTTAATCTACTTGCGGCATGGGGCATGCGGCATGCGGCATGCCACGCAGTACTCACCGAAGTATGGGCTGTGGCTGCGACTGTGGTGGTGCCTCCTCTGCTGCTTGTCGAATGTTGCGCTTAATCCCATGATCACGAGCAGCGCCATAAAGTATTCCACCAACATTTCATGCGCGCAATTTGTGACGCTCTCGAATGATAACTGTAAAATGGGAGAAGGTAGTCGTCAGGACGAAGGACGATGACAAGAAGAACGATAGAACAGAGAAGAACAGAGCAGAACAGAGCAGAACAGAACAGAACAGAAACAGAAAAGTAATTAAAATAAATGATGGCAATCGCGAAACTCGAGTCGAGACTCGACTTTTCAGCAGACAAAAGACCAGAACAACAGTACAGGACACGCTTTGCCAACACCCCGCCACTCCATGCCACTCTCTCTCCCTCTCGCTCCGTTCCATGCCGCACAGAAACAATAACTGAGAAAAAGGGATTAGGCTCAAGGCTCCGGTCTTATCGGGGAGATGCGGATGCGGATGCGAATGCGGAGAGGAAACCGCCGAACATTCATTTAAACTCTGATGACAAGACCGCAATGCGGTTGAGTTTTCAATCACCATGACGCCCTACACCCACCGCAGGACACAGGACATCATCATCAAGATGAAGCTGAAGCTAAGAAGATGTGCGCCTGTGGCATGTGGCATGCTCCATGGGGGTGGAGGTGGAGGTGGAGTAAAGGGAAAGCTTTTGGTAATTTCTTCATTACACACTAAGCTGTCCATTCAATTGCTGCAGGAACGAGGACGAGGGACGCAGGAGCTGTTGAAAGATGAGCCAAAAGAGGAGTGTCCGAAGGAGGCGAAGGCGAAGGAGCATGTCCTAGTTGAGTCCCAGGCTGCCCACAGGCAGCAATTTCGGGCTGGTCACGTTCCGATAATACACTTAATTATATTCCAGGACACGGACGGAAGGAAGCGAGGTTCCTAGAGGTGGGCTCTACCTTTACTGCTCGAAGGACTAGACCGAGGGGCAGGTGATGTTAATGCGAATGCGGTCGTCGGAATCGGTGTCGGAGTCGGAGTCAATGTAGCGCGAACTGCGTGCCGCCATCTCATGCGCAACGTAACGCATTCGAGCGCGTTGCGTTTCTTTCGTTTAACGATGGACGGGGTGGGGGATGTCTTTACGTAACTTCCCTCATTGCCCCCCGCGCCACTACGTCACTCGGTCACTGTGCCACACTCGGTCACCCAGCAGTCACTCCGCACTCGAAAAATCCTTCACTCTCCAATGAGGCGGCGACTGCGATTCCGATTCCCGTTTCCCGATTCCCGAGTCACAGATTCACAGAACACCCGAAGATTCCCGAACGAGTAGCAGTCACAGTCACGACGAAGAGTCACGGCATTCGCTTTGTGGCACTCCCCGTGCTGCGTTGTACGTTGCGTGTGGCTTGAGGCGCGGTAAACAACTGAATGAACCAGAAGGGAAGCCTTCCTTTCAGATTATGCAAATGCCACTTCTAAGAGGAGTCTCCGTGGCAGGGCGCAGGCGCAGCAGCAACATGTTGCCGAAACATTTATTGGGAGCCAAATTGAATTGTAAACCAAAGGAGCTTCATGCAGCAGAAGGCGGTGCAAGGAGGAGGGGGGCAGCAAAGCAGCAAGGCTGCAAGGTGGTGAGGGTATTTGTATCCTTAAATTTCATTCGAGATGCGTGGCTTATGAAATATTTACAAAGCCGAGGAGCGGAGGAGCGGAGGAGCGGAGTAGCGGAGGAGCGGAGGAGCAGAGTAGCGGAGGAGCTCTCCCAGTGCCACATTTGATGGGGCATGGACATGTGATTTGTGTCACGCAACAGCACCAGAATTGTGGGAGGATCGGCAGCAGCGGAAGGAGCAACAATGGAGTGATGGAAACAACAGCAATAATAAAAGGCAGAGCAGGAAAACTCTCATGCATGACAAGGCGCGTTTTACAAGCTTGTTTTCAATTGGAAAGTGGAGGCGACACCCCGAGCCCCCCACATCACACCCCCCCACACACACAGTCCCACACACAATGAATGAAAGTGGCACGCATTGTGCGCTCCCATTGTGCCAAAAGCGGAAACGGATATGAAGCGGCGGCCATGGGTGCCCTCTGTTGCTCGTCGTTGTTCCTCCTGCTGTCACTGGCTGCCACTTTGGCAGGCAGCAGGCAGGCAGGCAGGCGGCAGGCGACTTATCAAAATCGATGAGGCAACATATGGTTCGATTTTAATTTTCTAACATATTTCTCTGCCTCCTGCCTGCTGCCTCCTGCCTCCTGCCATAGAGACAGACACGACACCTACACACACGGTCACATGCCTCAGCTCTGGCTATGACCCCTCTCTCTCTCCCTCTCTCTCTCTCGCACACACACACACACACAGGAGAGGGACATGCCACTCTTTCCTCCTGAAATCCGTTTAGCATATTTTCTTTGGAAATTGAATTTCAAAGTTATTATAAATATTTCTCCAATAAATGCAATTTGAGTGGAATTTTTCCAGCCTCTGTCCCATGCAGCCCCCCAGGCCTGCTGCTTACGACTCCCTGCTCTTTTGGTCGCCAAATAGACAATGGAATGGAGGAGTCCAAGGAGGCGGCAGGCGCCGCTCTGGCCCCTTTGCCCTGTGGCACTGCCCCCCCTCGATGTGCCACCCCTCCGCGATAAGCCTCTGTCTTTCATATTATTTTACACTAACAAGCCAAACATTCCTCAAATTTAAAAGGCGGCGACATTGTTTTTTTGCAGAGCCTCGCGCTTTTACATCCATCTCTCTTAAGTGAATTTTTTTGTTGCCACACGGCCACATGCGGCAAGGAGGAGACTTGGCGGGGGGGCTTGGAAAATTATTGAAAATGTCGACAACACTTGAAGAGTCCTCAGCAAGGGCAATGTCCCTGGGAAAGCCAGCAAATTCTATAATTAGAAGTGGCCCCAAAAAGTATGCTGCGAAAAATGTAATTCCTACATTTCCTACTCGAAAATCCCTTTGTGGGACAAGGGACCTTCGGCAGATCATATTGCGTCTAACCTTTCGATCTACCCTCTGGCCTTTGCCAGCTATTCCGCCGGCAGCTATTCTGCGTAAGGGGCTTCTTGGCGACTTGGACATTGATTGCATACCGAATTGATGGAAATGCTGGCTCCTACCTACGGCAGGGAAGGGGGAGGGAGGGGAGGGGGGTTCTCCGACTGTCGTGTGTAAAATTGATAACTTTGTTTGTGTAAACAGCGACGCGACATATCGCCATCGTTCGCCCCCAATCCCCCCAATCCACAGCGACAACATCCCAGGTACTTCCTTTGCCCCCTGCCACATCCCCCTGCCCCCTGCGTTGTATTCCTCATTCCTCATGTGTGTCGCGACCGACAAATTTCCCTCGCCCCCCCGCCACATGATGTGATGTATGTGTTCGGGGCGTGTGCGTGTTTATATCGCGTATCGCGTATACGTAACGTTGTACCGTTCAAACCGGGACTCCACTCACGAATTATCGGTGTCAATTTTTATGCTGCCGCTGCTGCTACGTGTGCGAAAATTTAACAGAGCCCCAAAACAGATGAGTAAACCTGTAGACAGCGACAGGACTCAACGCCCGACAAATAGATGGAAAAACTACTACCAAGGGCATCAAAAACAAACCAAAAGAACAGCAGTTGTTGCAGATTCGATATGGACTATGGGATACCTGGGGATAACCTGGGAAAAGTAATGTTCCCAGTGCTTGGAAGAAGCTTTCTGTAGCCCTAATCAGCCGCTGGAACTAACTATTCTAACAGAATCAGGTGCTAAGATCGGTTTAATCTACCTTTCCCATGGCTGCCATATGCCCCCGGGTATGCCTCTGGCATCGCAATGAGTATAACAATGTCGCCAATTTGGCAAAGAACACGGCTATGGGCCGACAACTCGATAACGAAAAAATGGAAGCCAGAGACAACAGACGAGACGAGAGATGAGAGCCAGAGAAACAAAGGCAAAAGGAAAAGCAAAAGAGGGAAGGGGGACTCCAGGTCGAAATATGCCGAAAGTAGTTGGACAGGAAAGCCAGGACAATCAGGAGCATCAGAATGGGAATCGGGCATCAGGAATGGCAATACGAATGCCAATGGTTATGGGAGGAGCAACAGCAGGCAGGCAGGACACCAGGACACCAGGACTTCAGGACACCGACTCCGACGATGCTTAAGTTTTGCTCAACTGTTCATCAGAATTACAAATTGTATTCGATTTCCGGCATTTGTGACGCTTGAGTTAACAAAAATCCTCCCCTCTCTTTCTCTTTCGGCCACTAAGCAACAGCCCCCCCCTTCTGTGGAAATGGCAGGATAACAGCCGCAGGGATAGCAGGCATGTGGCAACAACAGGAGAAAAGGGTGAGGCTGCCACGATTTAAATGCCATATAAAGTTTTATGCATATTGCTGTTGTTCCCAGCGATAGTTTATCGGTGGCAACACGACACAAGAGGACGATGACAATCCGAAGGAAAACGCTCCATTTGAGGCACATTCGATGGGTGGGAGGGGGGGCTAGGGGACAGCCCTTGATTCGATTAGACCGATTGATTGTATTACCATAAAAAACGCATTGATTCGGCTTAGTGAAGCACTCTTTTTGCGACTCCGATTGGGATTTGGATTCCGATTCTGATGCCGAGCAATGGGTGTTTCCCAGACAATGGTCTCTCCTCGAATCTCCTCGTATGAGTGCCACAATTGTCTCGCTTTCAAATTCGAATTCCTCTAAAGTTTTGCCTCCCCCCCGAAAGAAATTTATTGAAGGCGAAACTTTCCCTTGTTTCTGGAGATTCCTGTAGAAGATTTCGCTTTTGATTTATGCGCCATTCTCGTGAATAAAAGTGAAATATAATATTTAAATAATGCTCGAGAGAGAGAGAGAGAGAGACATTACTCATACGACCCATACGCTTCTTGCTCTGGTGACTTTCTCTGGAGAAAGGGAGAGAGAGAGAGAGCCGACGCTGTCTCTATTTTGGCGTCTGAGGTCATCCGCCAGGCGCCGCCGGAACTCATTTTCCCATCATTTGCCATTGGGCCAGACGTAGAGAAGTGTCTTCATCTGTTGTCTCTGCTGGAAAGTTTGCTATAAAAGAAAGCCATCAAATAAACCCCAATGATTGACCATCCAGCCATCATGTGGCATGCCGCGTCCAACCCCATCCAGCCATTGATTGGGGGGCGTTTAATTATGGCACCAATACTCGGACTCAGACTCGGACTCGGACTCGTAATGCGGGGCACAAATAGCAGGTTACATTCAATTTGACATGTAATTTTATCGCCTCGAACAAAAAGTTTATGTGTGTGCCACACCAACAGCCAGAAGGGGGGGAGGAGGGGGCACAAATACATATATTTTATTATTTTATTATCTACTGTTTTATAACTTTCTTCCCTCCTAAGCTTCCACTCAAACTTTCTGCACGTTTTCCGTATAAAAAGCAGTGCTCCGGCTCCGGCTACGGCTCCGGCTGTGTGTGTGCGCCGTGCCGTGCCCCACCAGAGCTTCCGTCAGCAGATTTGTGTCGACTCTACACTGCCCCTGCCCCTGCCCCATACCCCGCACAAATGGCGCAATTGTGTGAAAGTTGAAAAACGTTTTCCTTCTTTTTTTTTTTGGACGGAATGTGCGGCACTAAACAATGCCATAAAGCGTCAAACTTGTCGATACTTTTTCGTTCCAATCTTGTAGATACATTGCGAAAGGAGCAATGTATCTGAGTATCTGTATCTCCACTGAATGTATCTCTCTAACTGGTGCTCTCTTCTCCGGTTGTCTGCTTCTCTGCTCCTCCGCTTCTCTGCTTCTCTGCTGTGTGTTGTCTGGCTGTCAGAATCAGTTTTCCTGCTGCTGTTTCTCTTGTTATTTCTGTCTGCCACTCTACTACTTTGATTATAACAATGGGAGACGCCTCCCCATGCCCAGCCCAGCGCCACCCAGAGTGCTGCTTTGGGGGCACCGACAATCGCTTACGAATCTTGGCAGAGAAAAGTTTTCAATTTGTAACTATTTGTTGTTCTGGGTTATGTAAATTGGCTCTCATGTCGGTCCTTCGTCCTTCGGGGTCGGTCTCTGTGGGAGAGTTTAAAAAACATTGCATTCATTCCGATTCTAATTTGGGCCCAAGCCACGCCTCTTTGGAATGTGCAGCTCCCCTCAACCCTCCCCTACCCCTACCCCTACCTATCTCCTTTTTACACTTCATTTGCAATGGCAGTTGGTGAAATATTTTTAGAGAGTAAGCAAAGACTTTTCAACAGACAAAAATTGTTATAAATTGCCATTAATGGGCTTGGGGATGTGTCTCTGGAGAGAGAGAGATGGAGAGAAAGGGTTGGGTTGGGCTGGAGAGGGGGGCGTGGCAAAGCGC